AATTTTGGAAGAGGCATTCTCGCTCATCATAACTAAATACTTAGTTTACTTAATATACAGGAGCAGAGAATAAGATTTTTGAAGAAATAATGCATTTTCACTATATTATCAATAGAGCCCTGTTATAGCACTAGAACCCCTGACCCTTGGGCGATAAAATTCACAATTTTGCAAAAGACATTCTTCCTCATCATAACTATGTACTTAGTTAGTTTATTTAATACCCAAGAGCAGGGAAGAAGATTTTTAAAGAAATAATGCATTTTCACTATATAATCAATAGAGCCCCACCCTAGCACTAGAACCCCTGACCCTGGGGCCATGAATTTCACAATTTTGGTAGAGGACTCAATGGTCATTACATTCATGCTAACAGTTTGACTGCTTGATGTCCAGGAGTAAAGAAGAAGATTTTTTAAAGATTGCACTAATTTTAGTGGTTTTGGCCCCACCCCTCAGGCCCCAGGGGGGCAGGGACCATGATATTCACAATTTTTATTCCCCTTCACCCATATATGCTTTATGTAAAATGTAGTGAAAATTGGTTGAGTGGTTGCAGAGAAGAAGCTGAAAATGTCAAATGTTAACACACGACGAACAGATAGCAATAGGTCACCTGAGTTTACTCAGGTGACCTAAAAAAAACCATGTGTTTTTTTTAGTTCAGGGTGGGAATATTTTTTTTTTCATGACTCAGACTCCTGTGGTCGAAGACACACATTTACAATTTGACCATTAGTTTGTCGTTATCTTTTTTCGGAAAAATATTGCGACTGTGCTTTACACTGGACAAAATTGCTAAGCACCTCTTGTTAATTAAACATTTGATGGATGGGTACTAGTGTATATAATATGCCAATATTTTAATATTTCCAAAACAGTGGGATTGACAAATATGTCTTGGTATAAAAAAAGGCCCTTGAATCACCTTGTCCGGTAACCAATCAATAGCTTTGATCTTCACACCATTTTTGCCCAGATATGAAATTCTTGATTATTAAAGGTGGTTTTTGAGGTTGCCACAAAAGTAGTCCCCCATTTATAAATCAAATAACAAGCAGCCATTGACCCTCATATTGTCTATTAAACATCCGGTGCCTTAATGTCCAGACCTAATCCACTCAATTTCCGGTTGACCTAGCTTTGTGGAACAATTTTCAACTTATTGTATGCTGCTAGCTTGATGTCGTGAAATTTTTGTCTTCGAAAATGGAATAGAGACACTTAAATTTTTTTTCTATGAATAGGTCACACATTCAGTAAACATTGCGATTATTTATAAGGTTTGAGATTAATGTGCCTTATTTTTTTTAATTAAATACTAGTACATCATAAACAGATTTTTAAAAGTAAAATATTAATGTTCTTAGGTGGTGCGTTAGCAATTTTGCCTAGTGTATATTGACTCTAGATATAGCAAGAAGGGATCCTACTTTGTGTAAAAAAAAAAAAAATAAGGTGGAAATTTGGCTATGGTGTGAGATTTCCACTCAGGAAAAAGCTGGCTATTTGATAAATCCTACTATACAACGGCATCCCCAAATTAGCATAAAAACTGGAAAAAAAAATCTATCTCGCTCGTGCGACTATCACATCCTATGAACTCCTTAGCATGGAGTTCATCTATGCAATTATCTTAGAAAGTTTTAATCAATTTACATACTTACTAAACAATGAACAAAAGAGTTGGTTTTAATGTTATTATTTTAGGTTAACTACCAATGACATTTAGCAATTTGAAAGTCAAATATTCTATGTAATATACAAAACAAATTTTTACATGTTTAAAACAAGGTAAAAATCGAAATATTTTGTGTATATCAAATCATATTAAATTGAAAAATGATATTGAAAAATGTACAGCTATCAAAATTTCCACATTAATAAATTTGATAAAGAGAAATCATTGTGGAAAAACATATTTCAATGAGCTTACAATTGTTACATTATTTTCTCTCATATTTAGATCTCTCTATAAATCAACATAGAGTAGTCAATATTATATATATTTCAAGTAAAGAGATATACATGTATTTACTTAATTTTAACCATTTCATCATTATAATAATCATGTAAAGAATGAGACTTATGTAAGCTAGTAATTGTATGCGAGTGAGAGTGAATATGTAGTAAAACATGTAAAAAGAGCATATACATTGTTTTTTGTATACATATTGTTTTATTGAGCAATATAAATTATAAAAAATAATTCGTTTGGAAAAAAAAGAAGATAAAATTTATGGACGCCATTTGATTTGGAAAATGTATTAAGAACCAGTTGTCTTATTGATAAATTAATCAATTAGTTTGAACACTTCAAAATGATATTTGAATGTTTTCTTGAAGAAAGTAATTGTGGGAATTCAAATACTTAACATATGTTAATCAAAAGAACAAGCTAGAAAAAAAAAATCACGCTTCAAAATAAAATTGATAGATTAATAAAAATTAAATTGTAAAAACATGCAATATAAATATAAAAAAATACAAGGAAATCAAATTACTTTAAACATATTTTATTGAGTATAATTCAATCAGGATTGGGCAACAGGCAATGCCTATGTAAACCCTCTCCTTTTATAATTGGTCAAGATACAAATAAGTAGTAAATAATACATGAACATGATAATCAATAAAATTATAATGAAAAATAAAGATTCACAATCAGGTATTATTTATCAATATTATATCTCAAAAAAAATGACAACCCCCTAACTGTATGCATATTATTTACATACTGTTCCGGCTTAAAAATAATACCAACATTTGAAAAAAAAAATTTATGCATTTAATAGAATATTTGATATAACAGTGTCTCTAATTTAGTCTTTTAGAAGATTTAATAAATTCTTGTACATATGAAAATATTTTACAATTTCTTTGAAAAGAGTATTGAGATTTTCCTCTTAGTAGAGCGTCAAGTTCAAAAACAACATCAATATCATTTAATTTTTTTACCAATATGTTTCTTTCAACATTATACGATGGGCAGTTGATAAAATAATGTTCAGTATCTTCAGTATGAAATCCACACTTTTGACATGATTGAATATCTGATAAAAAATGATTTTTTTAAATGTGCATTAAGATTACTAGCATTGTTTCGCAACTGACAATGCAAGATATTTTCTTTTCTATTACCAAAGTTAAAGTACCTACAAGGTTTATTAGTTGCTCCCCAATTCTTAAGTTTTGCTTTAAAGATAGCTAATGAAGGAGAGTTTTTTACATCTTCACTAAGACTGTTCCAAAGTTTTACGGTTGATGGAATAAAACTATTATAGTATGACATTGTTTTACAAACTGGTATACATAAGTTATTACATCCAGACCTTAAGTTGTAAGCATGTTGAACAGGAAAACAAGGTTGAATCAAATCATACAAATAATCAGGTGCAGAACCATTAATCATTTTATACATCAATTGAAGTTTGTGATATAATGGTTCCCGTCCTAGTTCACCATACAAACAAGTTCTGGATGAATTAACTCTAAGCCCAGTAATAATTCTGGCAGCTTCTATCTGAACTTTTTCAAGCAATTCTGAACTACTTTGGGTACAATTATCCCATACAACATCAGCATATTCTAAAATTGGTCTTATAAAGGCAAAATAAATTTTTATTAGTGAATTTCTATCAATGCTATGTTTCAGTAACCTAATTATATTTAATCTTTTACATGCCTTTTCATATATATTCAATATGTGATCATCATGTGATATGAAATCAAATTCACTTTGCAGCCAAATACAAGTGAAATGTTTTAAAGTAAGAAAAATAAACGATTACATATCACATTTTTCTTTTTCGCTGATAATTTATTTGTATTTAGGGAAGCCCACTGGGGTTTTATCGTGTGAAAACTACAATAGAGAATCTCTTATAGTTATACAATATATAATTTTTTACTCAAACTGTTACATATTATGAGTAATACTATATTGTACATTATATGTAAGAAACACAAAACCCTTATGTCTTGTTTCAAGAGGGGTCGTCTCAAAATGCAAGAAAATTTTTTTTTACAAATTTTCCTGGTTTTATATTTTTGATATAGACAAAATATGACGGATAAAACGGATTTACACACAAACTATACAAATTATGCAGAGTTTCTAAACGTTCTATGTTTAAAATTTCAAAAGAATTATTACTTTTTCTTTTATGACATGCATATACTTCTTTGAGAGCTTCACGTTATCATAACGTCAAAATCACACTATTACTACATCAATCTACCTATCAGTTAAAAAATTAGTTATATAAAATTGTAATTAAACTTTTCAACCTGTAATTTTCTCATTTTGTTAAATTGTTTTGAATTACGTAAAAAAAATGCTTCAAACAATAAATACGCTTGGTTTTACTATGATGCGGAAAATATTGATTAATGGAAACCCGAGTCGGCCCCCTTGAACATGTAATGACTGCATGAATGTAAATTAAAACAAGATTTGTTTTTGAAACACTATTCGCTCGGCGGCAACAAAGTTTGAAAAACTATTTTTAGCATATAGGTCACAGTCAAGGTCAAAAGGTCATTGACCTTGGTGTAATTTGAAAGATCTTAATTAGTGGAGTATGCATATCAAATATATATATATATATATATATATATATATATATATATATATATATATATATATATATCAGACAGAGAGACAAACAGACAGGACAAAAACAATGCATGCCCCGACCTAACGATCCAGGCACATAAAAAAAATGATAAGGTTTGTACTGGAAGGTATCACTCTTGAAAATATTGTCTTCCCACAAATGTTTAGTAAAATAGAAAATTTGGTATTATTACTATTTAAATAGTCATAACACCAAATTTTACTATTTAATACAAGAACAAGGTTCACTTTTGCCTTATTTGGCCCTGTGAATTTCTGAAAAACTGAAACTGCAAAATAGTTTTTGTTAACAATTCATTGAATAGCATGTAGATCTTTGGTGACTACGTATCTATCAAAAATGACGTAATTTTCTGGCTAGTCAATGCATTATTGACGTCGCGAAATGCGTCAATTTCCTAATATTCGGAAAAAGTCTATAAAAAACGACCAATTTTTAAAGCTATTTTTCAATATTTAATATGGAGTGCAACCTCTGATCTAAAATGTGCAACTACTAAATGATAGAGCTATTTCTGGGGATTAAAAGACATGTTTTAGTTTTTAGATCAGAGAGTGCGCTGATATTATTTTCTTCTCTGAAAGTACTCAATTATACATGTTTACCTTTAAATTCAAGAACATTGTAATTTCATAAAGCCAGTTCTCCAAGACCTGGACTTTTAGGAGAATTTTTTTTTATAGTAAATGAAAGCATAAAGACTCTATTTTACTTTAATGCTTCAAATTGAAAATCAAGTGTTAATCAATCAATTGGTATATCTACAGGGCCATTTTATGCATAAAGTGAACCGAGGTCTTTGTGGAATGACACTATGTTACAAACGTGCAAACAAGGCTGGCAGAACAATTCATTCCGGAAGAATTATTTCTCCTTTGATATCTTCATATATTCCTGCCACACTGATAGCCCTCACATACAGATGAACAGACAACCTTGACCAGCTGCTGATTGTTGGCGGTAAGCCAAATTTGATGCTAGTCTTTGTGGTCTCCTGCCACTGAAGAATGTTACTTCCACTATCAACAGTTCCAGCGCAAATTTCATAATAAAGAGGATGCTCAGAATTAAACACGTTGTTCCATGTAACAGAAAATTCTTTGTTTCCTTCGTGCCAGGACACTGAAAGTTGATTTCCTGTAAAAGAATTTGTAGTTTATTAATAGACAATTAAGTTATAATTAATTCTAAAAAAATACCAATGCACTATATTTCATAAAAATGTATCAACAATATAGAGATAATGTCCTTTGTATACCAGACTTTCGTGGTTTGTCTTCGAGTACTGTGATGTTGTAGGGTACTTTACTACTGGCAAGAAGAAGTTTATTAATGGCTTGTATTGAAATACTTTTAAGTCCCTGATCCATAGCTAAGTTCAATATCACTGCACTCTGAACGTCTTGGCCAATTGGAAATGACATCCTTTCAATCAATTTCAAATTTTGATCCGAAAACATGATCTAAAAAGCAAAAAAGAGAGAAGAAATAAAAGAGGAAGTAATAGAAAATACAAGTTATTAATTTCAAATAAAAACATACCTTATATTGCTCGATTCCAATGGAATCTGTAAATCCAGACCATTTTATTCGCACATTGTCTCTGACACTTTGATAATGTTCTCCAGCTTGGTACTCCGTGACAGATAAAGGCATAACTACAACTTCAGAATGGCCTACTGATGGGGATAGGGTGGAAATTGTCACTCCATCGGAGGATTTAGAAGTTATTAAGCCTGCACGATTTTGACACTTAATTGTAGAATATACAGTTCGATTTTCCAAAAGAATATAGTCAAAGACCTTGAATATAACGTTTTCTGAAACTGGTACTTTCTCAAATGTCTGCAACTCTATTCCCTGAGGCTGGTAACCTGTTATAAAAGTTATGAGATATTTTTTATCTCATAATTACATGCAAAATTGATTACATGTATTCGAAGAGCAATATTAAGTACTAAACCTAGCAGCTATAAAATGTTTGCATCCCTTGAAGATTATTGTTTATACACACCTATACCCCATTCGCAAAATTCTATTCCTGACTCAGCGTCCATTGCCACAAAGTTGACAGCTACTTCATTGTCTATCCATGCGTCTTTATCCTCGCCTAATCAGAGTAAAACGTTTATCAATGAATATTATAAATCCATACAAGTATTGGAAATTTAAACAAATCAAAATTTAAATTAGCCATAGTTGTCATAACGAAATATCCAAAATCTAGAATCAATTCATAAATTTGAGGATCCTGTCTCCACAATCTGTTTCCAAAATTTTCAACTTTCAATTTGCCTTACTTATTAATCGGCCATCATAAACATGGATAATCTCTGGAGGGGTTAGGTCAACAATTACTGGCGCGGAGTAGGATATCCCATCAAGTCCAGCCATATTAGACGCCACCGCTGTTATATGTATGATTGTGTTATGGATTAAAGTCACATTCGTGTTGATTCCGAAATTGTTCAGTCCAGTACTTTTGAAGTTTTGAAGCTGTATCCCACCTTTCGTATATCCTAACAATAAAAAAACCAAAAACAGACAAACCTTTTTATGGTGGTATTTTAAATTATGTATCAATTATTTTGATTTTCAATCACTTTCTTTTCATCATAGGACTAGTGATGTGAATACAACACAAGTATTGGCTAGAGAGTTATCATCAAAAGTGGAAAGCTTCATAAAGCTTACATTTGTGGATTTATTCTTTTTTTACCTATTGCCCATTTGTACTCTGTGATAGGACTGGAATCTTCAATAAAGCTCCATTCCGCGTGTATAGAACCCCACTGATGTATATAAACGATGTGAGCAGTCACATGCGATTCATTGCCATCCTTTTTGTCCCTTTCTACTCGCTGCAAGGTTAGATGATCTATAAAGAGACCTGTCTTGGCATCTGTACTTCCGATTTCTAAATAAGCTGAAATATTTGAAGCTATAAAATAAAACGTATGTCTGTGCCATGATAAAGTCTCGCGAGAAATAGCTTCACCATGTCCATCGTGCCTATATGGCTTTGTGTATAACATAAAAAGATGCCTGTTTTTACCAACGTAAACAAAACTTTCTTTGTTGGAAACCATTGCTGTGTCTAGTGACACGTGGCTTGTGAAGAAAACGACACGATATAACTCCCCAACTTTCAAATTTTGGACCTCTTGCTTTAAACTTCCCCTCAAAAATAGAAAAGCTTTGCCATCTCTGGCTAAATGTTTTTGCGACTTTACTACAGAAGCACAGCTTCCATGATTTGCATGCCAATGATCAGGTAGAAAGTCCGGATCTAAAGAACAGAGGTTACTGATATTTAGATTTTCAAATGTCAAAAACTTCTTCGATGACTCAAACGAAGGATTTATCAGTAGATTTTCTTCTGTGTGATAAAGGTACCGAGGTTCCGGTGGGGTGGTGTCGATTTTTACACCATCAGAAACAACGATTTTAGATTCATACCCAACGGTATCCACTGCGTATACTTTGCTATAGTAAGTTGCACCTGAAATTAATTTAGGATGGTAATAAAAAAGCGTATGGATTTTAAAATAAAATTAGGATGTTTACTCGTGTTCAACTCTACGTGCAACTTCATGTAATATCAGATACTTAATTAAATACTTATTAACCAACCTTGTGTAAGTTCATTTGTCAGTTTTGTTGATACGGATGTATGAATACCAACATTTTCCCATTGGCGAACGTTGCACTCCGTATTTGCTGATGACGTATGCACACTGGAAGTGTTACCGACACACCAGTAATAAAGCATTATTCCAGATCCTGTATCTGAAAATCCGTGCCATCGAGCACCAATCACATTTGATGTATTCTGATATTCAAGGTCATGCAAACCTGTAAGTCAAGAATTTGAAAATCATACGTATTTCAACCTATAATTGACTTTTCGTCCATGATGACTAAAGAAAGAAGAGTTTTACTTGTGATTATCACCATGCTTCATATGACAATTTTAAAAATCTTCCACTAAATAAAAGACAAATAAAAGATAAGTTCATTTATACAGATTAAAAAAAAGAAAGAAAACAACAAATTCTAGTATGCTTCAAGAAAATGGAAAAAATATTCAACTTCATGTAGAGAATACCCACCAATGCCATCGTATACTATGCCAGCTCGTGGTTTGACATCATCAGTTCGAAACCCATCGGAGGATTCTGTGTGGTGAATTCCAGAAAACCCATACGCAATGACGTTACTATAGTACTGAACTCCGGGAGAGAGCAAAAGTCTAAGAATACGGTATGTTGTTACTGTATTCTGTAAATTCTCATTACTGTCCCAGATGTCATGTCCTAAATGAATGCAAGTAAATCTTTTTATAAATTAATTTCTGATTGTGTTTATAAAAGGTTTAAACTTAATAATTTCTTGAAACAATTATTTTCGATGAAATATCATACATGGATATTTCGTTTCTCTCTGTCTCTTTTTCTCTCTATTGCTCTCAAATTTTTAATGTTATCAGCACGTACCGCCTGGCTGTGTACTGATGTATATATGATATGATTTAATAGTATCCTTTGCATCAGTAAATTTATTGGTCCAATTCACCATAAAAGCTGCTCCTTCCTTAACATAATCCTGGTCTCTCATACCACTTTCCATCATTTTTTCGCTAACCTAGATATATCAAAAGTTTAAAAAACATTATGCGAAGAGCTTTAATTGCTGTTTTTTTAAACACACACAACAAACACATGTGAATTCAATTCAATATAATCTTCATGAATAATATTATATTCATGAGAACTTACAGAAGATCCAAGAATATTCATCACAGATGGCTTTTGGGTTGAGATTATCACCCCATCAGATTTAAATATCGCATAACTGTTTTGGCCATACCATGCTTTAACGAAAACTGAATACGACACCCCTTCATTTAGAAATTGACCTACAAAGCAGAGAAAAGACAAATATTATAATGTAATATCCCCTTTTATGTGATACGTTACTTGAATAGAATATTAACATTCGTCAAAAATACTGCCATTAAATAATATGTTATCTTTATTTTGTTTTGAAAGGAAAACAACTAAGTTACATCACCTTTGTCTGTGGAAAATATGATGAAATTGTTTTGTCCAGCATCGTGCCAAACTCTGTCCTTTTCTAAATTAAAAATTCCGGAAGGTTCGTCACTATCTGTGATACTAACACTCCACTGATACCTATATATGAGCATGTAAATGTAGAAATTATCAATTTCTTATGCTTTTAAATTACCATGATCAACTTTATCGACAATTTAGACACCACATTGTTTTATTGTGCTATTTATTATAATTACAAAGGTATTACTCATAAAAAAAATTCAAAATTGTATTTCGTGCGGCTATGGACAAGTACCTATAGGCGAATCTACTAGGATTAAGTTGATTTTAAAGTGGGAAGTGAATTGATTTACATACCAAAGGGGAGAATTTCCCTGCCTTTGAATGATTGACCATCGACCTTGCAGAATTGTGTTTGTTGGTGTATATGCAATATCTTCACTTCCATACATAACATCATTAACTTGCAGCAGGTTGTTTGGATTCCCTAAAATATGTAAAACGTAACATTAAAAGCAAATTGAAAGTAAGGTTATAAAAAGTCTCCTGCCAGCTGCATTAATAAATTTGTATCAATCATAGCTGAATCTGATAAGAAAGTACAACAAAGTAAAAAAAATTTACAACATATCTTTATATAAGCATGCATGGAAATTTTGAAGTTTGCAAAACTGGTGCATTCTGGAAGGAGAAAGTGAAAGAAAGAAACAACTCACCTACTGAGACATCAATACAACTGGTATCATTGGTGAAACAGACTCTGTCTTGTGGAGCACACACACAGTTTCCCTCACAGTCATAAGCATCACAGCGCCTGACCAGCGAGAGAATCCCCCCACTATGAATCATTCTGAACTTGGAATGAATGATGTAACTTGATAGCCCAACCTAAAATTTATTGTTTAGGCAATACCTTAGCATTGAAGAGTAAAAGCATGATGATCATGGATTATACGTTTAACATATATGTAAACATGGTAAATAAAAGTGTAGAAGTTCGGGCTTTACGGACCGTGGATATCGGCCTGGATAGCTCAGTGGTTAGAGCACCTGACTAGTAATACAGGGGTCCCGGGTTCGATTCCCGGTCCAGCCATATGTTTTCTTCGTGCATTTCTCCTTTCCTACTACATTTGGTGGCCAGTGTGGGGGGCCTTGTTCAGGTTACAGTGTATGTGTAAATTAGTAATTCCTGGCAGGGCCCTAGAACTTGTGTCTTCGAGGTCGAAGACTGTTTAAGGAGGGAGGAATGTAGAAGTTCGGGCTTTACGGACCGTGGATATCGGCCTGGATAGCTCAGTGGTTAGAGCACCTGACTAGTAATACAGGGGTCCCGGGTTCGATTCCCGGTCCAGCCATATGTTTTCTTCGTGCATTTCTCCTTTCCTACTACAAAAGTAAAAATATATTTAGTACCTTATTCACAGCCCACACACTTATAAAGAGAAAATCATGGTCCGAAAGTTTTTGAGTTCTGATGCTGTAAGTTTGAACTTTGCCCTCGTCATATCTATCAGCACCAGTTGTTGTGTGATTTACTTGAATTGCTTTTCCCGGTTCCTAAAAAGGAATTAAAAAGTATTACCTAGTATGAGACCTATCTTTAAACCAAACGCTATCAAAACATCTTTTAAAAAAACAAATATTTCGTAATATGATGTCATGATTTCAAATAGCATACTGTATTTAAATCTGCGCCCATGTAAGCTGAACCAATATTGACGAAATAATGAGAAACGTCCGAATGGGCATCTCCAAAACCAAGCCACGCAAGGTTCACTCTGTATTTCGTCCATGTCATAAATCCTGAGACATGACGGCTGAGTTCTGCAGCATGATCGGTATGAATAGCAAACATTCCTATATTGATGAAATGAAATGCCGCAGTCATATTTTCATTAAAAATATAGATTGATATTTGATACATTTTGAAAGAACAATATTTTCTAAAAAAAAAAAATACCTGTAGCTATAACAAATAATATATGTATAAATCTAATTACATTGTGAAATTGAATTGATCTGGAATTACATCCATCAAATTTATGCAAACCTCGATTTGGCTTAGTAGTATCTACCAACATCCCCTTAGAGGTGCTCGACATGCATAACGCAGCTCCATTACACGTAATCAGCGTTACAAAATACGTTACTCCATCATGCAGTGATAATCCAGTAAAGATATAATCTCTTACAATGCCATTGACCTGGTAGAAGAAATCTTTGCATTATAATTACTAGTATGTCAATTGTATATTTAAAAAAAATTGTGATATTTGAGACCGCTTTTTAAAACTTTGTTCTTTCGTATTTGTTTGCAAAACTGCTTTAATTACAAAGCACTTTTCAACCCACCTGTATTGAGGATGTTTGGAAATCGCCACCTATATGACATTTAATTGAAATATACTGCCTATCAATGTACGACTCATCATCTTTTACGTCCCACTCAACTTTCATAGACCCCCTGTAAAACTGCGTGTTTCCGTGTATTCCAAAATCCTCTGAAAATCTTGGACCATGTACTATAACTGGTGGAGTGTCATCAATAAGAAATCCATTTGATGTCGCGTCTGCAAACTGACCTAAACAGGTAAACGCTTTTGAAAAATATTCTTTTTACGAGGGGTCTGTTGATTTTACATAAATTGATTAAATTCATATATATGGCATATAAATTGAACAGTTTTTTACCTGCTTTGTTGTAAGCTCTCACAGTAACATACACTCGTTGACCGACTGGAAGATGTGGCGTTATATTGTAAGCTGTCGCTATTTGAGTCAGGTGGACCTCTCTTTCAAGTAGGATCTCTTTACCCCCAGGTGTGGTACCTGCCCACCAAACATAATGGGACAGTCCTGACTGAGGGTCAGTGAAACCAAACCAATTTAACCCTATCCAATTTCTAAAAATTAAAAGAAATTATGAATTCTAAAATCAGTAAGTGATTCAATAAAAGAGCTGGTTTATTGTATTTATATACTAACTTGATTGATTGGTACTCGATGTCAGTGGAAGAAGTCCCATCTATTACATTTCCTGCGTTTGGCGGACTGTTGTCCATTATGACACCATCGGAAACAGACGTAGTGCAAAAATCAGCCGTATTACATGCAGTTACCGTAGTGTAGTAAGTTAATCCAGGTCCAAAATGGACAAAGTCAACTGCTAGCTCTGTATTCAAGAATATAAGCGACTTTATTATTTTCCACAACTACGATACGCTAAATAATTTTGCCCTGCACGAATAGTCGCTACATTCAATTGACAGAATCGATAGAAAAATAAGGGCAATATATCTTTACCTTGACGGAAAAGAAGAATGCTTTCACATGTGTAGTACATAAAAATAACGTGTTTAACATACAAAATGGCTTTTCGGGAAAGAAAGGGTGAAGACCTTCCTATGTAGTTTTCCTCTTTTTTGCGTGCAACCATGGCTTACTACTTGAAAAGGTCCTGCTTTTTTAGGCCAATACAATAAAACCTAAAATTTTGAAAATCACAGCACAACTTTCCCTATATTGCCCGTAATTTTATCAAAGCATTTTTAAAATTATTTTTGAGTGACAACTTTGTGTAATGTAAAATGTCTGTTCGCCAGTATCGGCACCAGTGTATGCAAATCAAATATATTCCGAAACACTTAACATGCATAATTGATTGATTGATTGATTGTATACTGTTTAACGTCCCTCTCCAGAATATTTCACTGATATGGAGACGTCACCATTGCCGGTGAAGGGCTGCAAATTTAGGTTTATGCTCGGCACTTACGGCCTTTGAGCAGGGAGGGATCTTTATCGTGCCACACCTGCTGTGACACGGGGCCTCGGTTTATACGGTCTCATCCGAAGGACCGCCCCATTTAGTCGCCTTTCACGACAAGCAAGTGGGTACTGAGGACCTATTCTAACCCGGATGCATAATGGAAAGTTTAATCTAATACCAACTCTCATGTTTTAACATAAGTTGAAACAATATTCTTATATACAGAGGTCTTCGCCCAAGCATTCACTAACCATTGATAAGTCCAACGCTTTGGTAGCCAATTACATCATCACAGTACGGGCATGTTCCAACATTGATGAAATATTCTTTTATTGAAGAGTGAGGTTCGTAGAATCCTTCCCAATATACTTTTAATATGGACGTATCAGTCTGGAAATCTATATCCATTTTACTACTTCCTGTTGGAGAAATGTCCAAAACGTGTCCCTTGATAGGAGGTGATAAATCAACAGTGTACGCCCAGGAAGTCGCCACTGACATCAATTTGGCCTTATTGAAAGCCTCAAAATAAATAACCACGTATAAATCATAAACAACCATAAAACTAAGAAATCAATCTGATATGTCTGAAACAAGATAAAATGCAAAAATGCATTTTTTAAAATCAAATTTCTAAATGGACAAGAGAATAATGCTCACTTTTACTGAAATGAAATAAGCATGTCCTTCTGTAATGTTTAAAGGTTGGCTTTTGTTGTTCATTCCACATTCACTATCCACTCTAGTGAAATACATTACATCGAAATGACCAGGTTCTGAACCTATAGCCCACATGAAAAAATCTATGCCACTCTCTGGGTCACTGAAGACATTATTCCAACTGAAAAGACGTCAAAGTAGTTCATAGTTACTTTTTTCTAAAACCAAAATAACACATATATGTTAAAACAAACTGCAATGAACTTCAATTTGAATTTCCTACATTTTGAAGACTTTAATGTTCATAAAATATACTAAGGGAGTGAAGAAGAATGTTAACATTTTCTAAGAAATAGGTTAATATCAATTCTATATTTTTAACCTAGCTATATGACGATTTTGGGCTTTTTTTAAATAATATATATATATATATATATATATATATATATATATATATACTGTAGAAGCACAAATTTTCGTGGGGATAAAATTTCGTTGATTTATCATCAAAAATAGTTTCGTGGGCATTTAATTTCGTTGTTGTGAGAGTAACCCTATTCAATATATAGTCATATAAAATTTCGTGTGGGATTTAATTTCGTTGATATTTGTTAACAACGAAATAAACGAAATTTAATCCCCCACGAATATTTCTGCTTTTACAGTATATATATATATATATATATATATATATATATATATATATATATATATATATATATATATATATATATATATATATATATATATATAATATAAGTATGTTGCAATGGTCTAGTTTCGTTGGTTTGGAGTGCCTTTATCCCGTCATTTTACAAAAAAATGAATTCGCTTTCACAAGACATTAAACTAAGTTAATATTTTCAACCTGATCCCATCTCTGATGTTTTGGAGGTCCGTGTTTGCTCTGCTCCTGTTTTGTATTGTTTTATGGACTTTTGATCTTGAATACTGTTCGTTATCTCCATATGTTTCATAAGTTGAAAAATAGGAAAGAAAAAATTGGCTCTGACAAAATTCAACTTTTCCGTGGAATTTAGCGTGTAAATTTATTTATTCCGGGTGTTATTCTTCAGTATATATGTATTTTCTTAAAAACTATGAAGTTCGTTATGCATATTATCCCAAGTTTCCAACTATCGTTGATGTACCAACACACTAGACAGTGATGCCTTATATTTACATTTCATCGTAAAATAAAATTTTGATTTAGATTTTAAAAGTCTTCTAATAGATTAAAATTACACGATGCCTCCCCTGTCCACTTCAATGGTCCCACTGTCCTCAGTACAAAGACAGTCGCACGAGATTTACAGGTATGTTAGACATTTTGCAATGCAAAATTAACTTCCGGTTGAATCATAGAACAAGAGGCCCTGGGGCCACATCGCTCACCTAAGCAAATCGGAGTCAGATCAGAACTGAAAAGTTTACTGAAGGGGGGGGGGGAGCTTGAATTTCAATACTTCTTGAGAATGCCTTTACATTGATATAGCTATATGGCTTTGCTGTTCTTGGTATACAGATTTTTTAAAAACATTTTATTCCTATATATTACTTCGTAATAATTTAAATTTGTTTCCCCAGTGTTTCCCTCCCTACCCCATTGGGCAATGATTTGGAACAAATTTAAATCCTCAATACATGAGAATGCTTACATGTCAATGTGACTAAACATAGCTTTTCTGTTCTTGGGATTTTTCCCTATATTTTTCTATGAAAATCTTTTATCCACCATTGTGACCCCACCTTACCCCCGGGGGTCATGATTTGCACCTAGTCTACCTGAAAATGCTACCATATAAATACTAGTATCACTACTCATGACTTTGCTATTCTTGAGACGACTTTTTTAAAAATACACTTTAATGTAAAACTTGATTCCCCCATTGTGGCACCACCCTATCCCTGGGGGTTATGATTTGAACAAACTAGCAAATACCTGAGGATGATTCCATATACATGTAAATATCACATATCATGGCTTTGAAGAACTCGAGAAGAAGATTTTAAGATTTTTCTATGTACATGAATTCCTATGTAAAACTTTGATCTGTCATTGTAGCCAACCCTACCCCCAGGGGTCATGATTTGAACAAACTCGAATCTACACTACATGAGGATGCTTCCACATAGTTTCATCTTTCCTGGCCCAGTAGTTCTTGAGAGAAGATTTAAAAAAAAAATTCCTATATATTCCTATGTAAAACTTTGATCGGCCATTGTGGTCCCACCCTACCCATGGAGGTCATGATTTGAACAAACTATAATTTACACTACCTGAGGATGATTCCACATGAGTTTTATCCTACCTGGCCCAGTACTTATTGAGAAGATTTTTCCCATATATTCCTATGCAAAACTTTGATCGGCCATTGTGGCCCCACCCTACTCCCGGGGGACATGGTTTGAAAAAATTTGAATCTACACTACCTGGGGATGATTCCACATGAATTTTATCCTACCTGGCCCAGTAGTTATTGAGAAGAAGATTTTTAAAAGATTTTTCCCATATATTCCTATGCAAAACTTTGATCGGCCATTGTGGCCCCACCCTAACTCCGGGGGTCATGATTTGAACAAATTTAAATCACTACCTGAGGATGTTTTCACATGAGTTTCATCTTTCCTCTCCCAGTGGTTCCTGAGAAGAAGATTTTTTAAAAATGCCATTAATTTTCACTATTTCATAATTTCTCCCCTTTGAAGAAGGCGTGGCCCTTCATTTGAACAAACTTGAATTCCCTTCACCGAAGGATACTTTGTGGCAAGTTTGGTTGAAATTGGCCCAGTGGTTCCTGAGAAGAAGATGAAAATGTGAAAAGTTTACGACGATGACAGACGACGAACAAATTTTGATCAGAAAAGCTCACTTGAGCCTTCGACTCAGGTGAGCTAAAAATCTACTCACCTAATTCTTAGCTATCAGTGAGAAAACAAATAAAAACGGAACTATATTGAAATCACAGGCAACATCACGTTTTTGTTTATTAGGTAAAAAAAATCAAAGAAAAAAGATAAAACTGGTAAGTTTTAACAGGAAACATCAGTTTACTTACCAGGCCTCAATTTCTGTTCTAGAATAAATATGACGTCCAGACAAAGTTATAGGACTGTTAGATTTAACTGGTGGACTTGTGTCTACTCTCACTGGTAAAGACGATTCAACTGTCGTTCTATTAGCAAAATCGGTTGCTGAAATGAAGCTTTGAAAGTAAATATGCGTAAATACTGTATACCGGGAAATTTTCGCCCCCGTTTTATTTTCGCCCCTTTCACCCTCTTCTTGATTGGGCGAATTTAAAACGTGGCGAATTCAAAATTACACCTCATAATTTCTTAAACAGAACTATGACTGGGACGAATTTAAAACGGGGCAAAATTGTTCACAAGTTCAAAAGGGCGAAAATAACACGGGGCGAAAATAACCCTGTATACAGTAATTATTAATTTTAGAGGATTGATATAAACGCAAAATTTAATACCCATGATAGTTGCATAATAATTGTAACCACTGTGTAACGTTAATCCATGCATGTTTTTGTGATTTACTACACCGACATCAAAGAAAGCGACTACGTCATTTCCTCCTGCAAACGTGCCTGAAAATAAAGATAACATTTAACTTTCTTCAACCGTATTTGGCCATAATTGAAAATTCGCCATTTATTAAATGGTTTGTTACCAATGCCTAGCTGGTACTTTTGAACTCCAGAAATATGAGACCCAGTTTTAAATTCTTCAACATCTCTAAAAGATTCCCAAGTCACAAACATGTCTGTTGTAGATGTCTAAAATATACACATTTGATGTAAATTTCTTCTACTTGACAAAACGTTATATTTTGGTGATAAAACATGTATATAAATATTTTTATTTTGAAAATGAATCTTTTACTTACTTTACAGATATAACCATAACCATTTACCTGATAGTGTGCACCTTCATTCCCAATCCAAACCTTTCCAGGTACCGGAGGTGTTAGATCCACCACAATTCCATTACTACATTCATTCATTTCTGGTAAGACTTGCGTCCATTTCTCGTATTTTATCTCAGTATATGCTGCATGTATGCACACCATGTACCTTTGTCCATGTTCAAGCTCCCCTTCCTTAAATTTAAAATTGATGAATTCGCGTTCTGTAATTTAAATGTAAAACAATTAATGAATGATGCATTGTAAGTCTTGTTTAGAGAGGAAAAAAAAAGTTAACTTCAAGGCCATCTTGAAAATAATGTTTGCTTGCCCTCTTTTGACTCAGGATACAATTATTGGGTCGGTAGGAAGTTGAATTTTTTTTTCCCAGAAAACATATTTTCAACATATTTGTTAAGGTCATATGAGGAATTAAAAAAATGTTGTGTCCAGGAATGTAAAAACCGGTCGGGAGAGGGCAACCAAACAATTTTTGAAACATGGCCTCTACTATGATGTGTCTTAAATTTACCTGAAATACAATGTTTTCCAAACCTAAATATAACAAATGTCTTGAAACAAACCTGTTGCGTCACATTGGATAGAATCGGGATGGCTGCAGGGGTCTGGCAGAGACAATGAACTTGAGGGCAGATAATATGTTGTGGAATCTACTGTTCTTGCGTTGAGAACGGCAACCGTATACGATTTGTACCGGAGCTGTGGCCAAACAGCTGATATATAGTTCATATGAGGAGTGTAGTCCTTGTCTGGAAACGGCCATCTATCATTGGTTAGTAAACTTATCGGTTCTCCGTATCCATCTAGAATTTTGAGCAATAAAAAATATACGTGCATTTAAAAGGCACATAAAATATCTTATTAAAACATTTGATTATCAAACGGATTATTAACATCACTGTATAAAACTAGTGCTAATTGTAACGGGGACCGTTACAGATGTTCCCCAAACGTTCCCCATGTCCCTTATCGTGCCTTATTCCTCTAAGACCTTTTATAAATATGCTAAGTATCCCAAGATTTCATTTAAGAATATAAAAGTTACAATGATATCAACTATCAACGATATATTGTTTAACGTTTTGCATGCGCGCACACGTACATGTACATGCATATGCAAGATGATTATGGCATGTTGATTAAGCGATTAACATATCTTTCTATCCCGCGAATCAAAGAAAAAAATACATATATAAATTTACCATTTTTCAAGCATATGTCATATTTTTAATATATCGATTCACATTTTATTTCTCTACTTATTTTAAACTCGGGCTCAAAGTTGGTTTTATTCCGACGACAAGGCAGGGTTAAAGGAAGTCGACTAAGGGTATCACGCCAATACCTAACCAATCAAAATGAACTTATTCAATAGTAGTTCCATACATGGAAAAGGGATTTTCCTTTCTGTTCAGAATTTTTTAAATATTTCCTCTCAGGCCATTTTGACAACTCTGATACCTGTGCCTGGTAAATTTTATATACTTTGTAAATAAATATATAAAGGTTTTTTGACCGGAACTATTCATTTTTTCCAATGCATAGGGGGCTACTCTCTGGGTTTTACAAGAGATGTTTAAAAAGACATTCGTGTCAGCTAATGTGACCTATATTGTTTAACACCTTCTTATTAATATTTTTTTTCATGAATGCAAATATCTGATTATTTTACGAAGGAGCGTACATGTATATACCGAAAATCGCTATTTCTGGGGATTGCGTAATTCTAAAAAAAATTCAAATAAATTTCAAAGGTAAATTAAACAAAGGATGCTTGGTATTAAAATATTATTTCAAATCAGTAGAATCGAATGCTATTGTAACGTGTTTGCCTAACACTTATACTATAATATGATTTTTCTCAGGGTCTAGGGCCCCCTCAGATACCTTGCTGAGGAATTTGATTGTTGACTGAAACTTATTTACATATGCAAAATATACAAATATCGGGTGCTTCTCTAGCACGCAAATAAACGAAATAATTAATCAACTGCCTCTTAATCAATTAGGCTTCTAAGTCCGAAGCGACTTCGTGAAGCGCCCAAAGAATCAACCAAAGCGCCGGCTCGTCGCTTCTACCATAAGCGACAGGTTACTTCTACTTATATACGGACTGCCTTCGTATGCAACGCTCACGTAGACTGTTACATACTAGGTACGATCTGTTCTGCACATCGCAAAGCAATAATGACTTACGAACAGACTTACCTGTACCAATACCCTTTGGCTGGCTTTCTCCTACTGCTCCTGTCTTGTAGCGGACTTCTACAATGGCACTCTACCGCATCAGTGACTGTATCAGAAAACTGACTCTATCGAATCTCGACGCCTTATATATACTCTAATAGTATCACGTGACAAGCCCACTCGGAATTATTGGGAACTCGGGGTTTTACGAACTCAGGGTCCTTTCGGAACGCCCTGTCCCCTTCCCTTAATTATCTATTTCCGTTACACTATTAACGACATCTGAATAAATAGGCTATAAAAGGCTTAGATGCCAACTTTGGTCATCTGCACTTTAATTTTAAACACGACAGGATTAGTAATTTTTTCTGTATAAATTAATAATTTGTATATACTTTGGAAACTCAAATGAAATATTTTAATACACTTTCCTCGAGCTCTTTTCTGCAGTTTTCCTGAAATTTTATGTGGGTCCGAGGTGTTATTTGAGTTTAACAGTGATTCTCTACGTTGCCATTAATTTGATTTGTTTGTGTGTGTGGGGGGGGGGGGGGTTATTTTTATTCTTAACCTATTTAACATTGGAGTTGAATCTTGTATCTTATTCCAAGAACTTAAGATTGATTGTGACATTTGGATGAAAGGTCAAGGTCATTAAAAACCACCACCTCTTTAACTTCTAACCTGTCAACCGAAATAAACTCTGAAAGGTGTTTCTAGATACATGTACATGTACTTCATGTTTCTTTTTACCCTTGGGTCAGGGACAAAGGTTAAGGTCGATTTCAAGTTCATAGGTCAAGGTGATTTTGATAAATAGTTAATATCAACATTTAATTCAGGTTACCAATGACCTTGACCTAAGTTTCAAGGTCAAGGGTAAAAAGATCTGCATGCTTCAGTATGTTACATGTCTTGACATTTAGAAGTTCTTAATTCTGCATGAACATCAAACACTCAAGAATACTGTCTTTTAATACATTGTGTGCGGTCGCATGTGCATGCACGTCCATGTATTTACTTTTGATAGTAGTATAATGTAGGCAATCATTATATCTATTCATATTTGAAATTTCACCCTGTATTATTGAGAACCAAGAAAGTTGTAGGCATTTAAAGTTTTAGCCAATCAGATTGCAGCACACGTGCATGTGCGTGCGTTCATGATTATTTTTATATATCATGCTGTAGATCTTCATAATGTAAGACTATGTTCAAAATTTCAAAGGATTTTGTCAGAAAACAAAAGAGATATTTAGACTTTAAGTTTCAGCCAATCGCAGCGAAGGGCACCTGCATGCGCGTGAGATCTTGCTATTTTGACCATGTCATCATGTCTATACTACTATTATATCCTTATATTATGAGTTTCAAAGCATTTCATCCAATATTCAAAAAGTTACGGCTAAATCTATTATATTGGTCATTTCACGTGTTAACGTGCGCGCACCTGCACGCACGTGCGCGCAAAATGACCTTCTTTCCGCACATCTACATAACATACCTAGTGACCCTAAAAAGGTTTCACCTAGATCGGATGAGTAGTTTACGAGAACACTCGCGGACAAAAAAGTACCGGAGAACAAAGAAAAAATTCAGAAAAAGTAAAAACAATATGTTCCCAAACTTCGTTTGGGGAACATAATAAATGATTTGGATGATAAAAAAAATACATTATATGTATTTTAAAGATTCACTGTATGGAAGTAAATATATATTGTGTCTCTCATAATTAAGCGAAAAGACAAACGAATTTCTGGATTATGTCAAATATGGCTACTCTATTTATTAAGAAAAAAAAAGAAAAGGATATAAATTTTCAAATTCCTTGAAAGTTTTTTGGGGGAAAGAATCATTAAAGAAAGCAAGTTTTATGTTTTTCTGAGCATATTTTAAAAGATATTGAAAAAAATCTTGAGAAGTAAAACGATGTATAACTAAAATAAATTCAGTTCACTTACCTCTTGATAGATCAGATCTACCTACAGCATCAATTACAGTTCTAGGTCGAATCAGAATAGGATCAAATGCCTCACAATCCTTGATATCCACTGATACTGTGGAATAAAGCATAGCTTTATTGTATCCACGAACAGCGAATCTGCGACATTTGGAAAAGTCAAACTCGCCAACAAGTTCAATCATAAATGATATCTGAAAGAAAGTTTTGTCTTATAATGACATTACGGCTGAAATTGATATGTTCAGCAATATATGTAAACAGACTAAGTTTATCAGATATATTAATTAATACATGATAACCTTTTCCTTGTTTTCGGTAGTAAAATTCTTGAGTTTAGTCCACTTAGTATGTAAGCTTCCTATTTGAGATTGATCCAATATGGCCCATTCATATTTATCAATCACAGCATACTTTTTCGTTGGACTAAGAATATCAGGATCGAAAAACTTGTCCATTGTTATTTCAAGCTGCAATGCAAGACACCTTCACTTACTGATAAATATTCTAACTGATATATGAAATATTTGCAATTCATAACGTTTCACTTTTCTGCGTTTGTAAACTTAGAGTTTAACATTTTATAATTTTTAGAATTAAATGATTTTATCAGCATAAAAAGAATTTGAAGATGTAAAAAATGTTAAAGCATTTCCAAACAAATTATTTATTTCGAAAATTGCCTTCTCTTTGTCATCTTTTCCTGTTGAATTCGCATGCTTTATGGTAATTTTTCCCGTGTCGGGCAAGTTAGACAGAATTGTTATCCCATTGCTGTGAGTTGGTAAATGACAGAATTGCTTGGCACAAAGCTTAACAGCAATTCTATACTCTCTCCCAGAGCTCAGAAGTAGTCCAGTGATTCGAGCCTCCTGGTGATTATGATTGTATTCATAATCACGAAAAGTTTTCCAAATATCTGAGAAATTTTTTTTAAATCAAATAGACAAATAAAAAGCATGAAAACTTATCCAACAATTTATTTTAACAGTGAGACATGTGAGCAATTTTTAAATGATAATTTATGGTTAATTATTTGAAAATTTCCTCCTTACTCTCATATGTTTTCTCTTCAATAGAGTAATACATGTCTGGTGTAAAAGCTAGTTTATCTTCAGGAATCGACCAATATCCACTGATACTGTCTTTCGATGACTGATAATCTAGGTCACCTTTACAAGCTTCGATAATATCCTACAAAATTGTTTTACAATGTAACAAAACGAAAGCAAGACAATATCTTAGTTATTTCTCTTAAAGTATCAGTTTTATTTATTCATATTAAATATTTCAAATATACCCAATCATGATGTTTCAAAGTGAAATTCTGTGAATCCTCTGAAGTGAAACAAAAAAAAGAGATGTATATGTATACATGTAATTCAGTTATAAATCCGATTGATACAACTGTATTGATTAATAATAAAAGCTGCAACACTACCATTAGAGCTGCATTTTTCTCCATCAAATACCAGGACTCCTGACAAGGTATCATTTTCTCTCACTACCGTCACTCCATCTGAAGTCACTTCCACTCTTCCAGCAGACGAAATAGCCGTCACAGTGACGAAGTAGATCTGCATAATCATAAAAATATAAGACCTTATATTTATCTTTAAAAAACAATTATCTACAGGGCAGAATAATAATTATATTCTCTGTTCTCAGTAGGAAAAAACAATGACTTGAGCAATTTATGTGAAAGTCCGAATTTAAAGTGGTGTTTGCTTAGGAAGTTCCCTCTTTTTTCAGGAAGCATTTTAAAATTGTTAAGAGATTAAAAGAACTGATAGTATAGTTTTCGACAAGCTAAGTTTTGTTTTGCAAGTCCGGCGAAACAATCTTATATTTGACATGGTATTACAAGATTTAATTTATTTTAAAATAATAGTATTGATTGTTTGCAACAAAATGTATATGACATAGATTACATCTAAAGTTCTGAACAATTACACAAAATGTATCGTAAATAACTTACCTGATAGTATAACAGTGATAAGCCAGTCTCTATATGTGATACATTACGACCAACAAATTTTGGTGGAACAACATCGTTGCTGCCAGGAGTGCTCCCAACTCGAAACTGGTACGTTACGTCTAAATATACATGTGAAAATCCCGTCCATTTCGCACCAATACTTTTAGTTTCTGATGTGAAATCTATGTCTTCAATATCCTGAAAACAGTTACCTTACGTTAAGAAAATGTAATATCCATTACACTTTTTTTTTGCATCAACAGATGAAAATAAAAGGATGTGTTAAAAGAAAAAATGATATATATATAAATTATATATAAACCGATTCTTTTTTAATATTTTTTTATGCATTTTATTTCTATTGACTTAATCAGTTAATTTACCTTGCTTATGATAAATAAAATACTACTAGTATATCTTGTCTGAATTTACAAAAGAATTTAAAAATTATATCTTACTTTAAATTGCGAATCTTTGTTCTGAAAAAATAAAATAAGCAGGATATAAATTACTATTATCATGCAAGTACCTTGAAAACATCCTTAACTTTTTTGTCATCCATATACTTTTCAAGCAATAATAATCATGAGAAAGCTGTACTTCTAACACTTTTGAAAATAAATATTATTAAGTTAATTGTATCTTACTTTAAAAAAATCAGTTAATATGAAAGGGAAATTGAAACTTAAAATTTTGTGATAGTACATACGGCTATATCTATGACTATTCCTGTTGACGGTAGCTGCACATTGTGTATATAAGGTTCTGAGACACCGAATGTATTGAGACCCGCTGCGTTCTCTGCTTTTATTGTGACAAAGTACGTATGATTTCCATGAAGTTTCCACTCTGTTTCAGATAAAGGGACTGCTGTACATGTTGGTGGTTCTGTTAGATTACAGCCAGGCCCTTTCATTAGTGGTGAGTACTTCTGAACCTGTGTTCCCCTAGGCGTGTGACCTTGAAAATGGAGATAAAAATGAAATAAACACTGTTCTTTTCTCGTTGTTGCTTTCGAAGAATGCAATTACATTTACGTACCTAAAGCGAAATGAAATGTCAAACGAAACAGGTCTTCGGTGTCAGTAAAACTTTCAGACTTCCAAGATGCCAACAAATACCCGTCTCTGTGTACAACAGTAATAGGTGGTTGAAACAATGGAGGAGTTGTGTCGACAAAACATGGACCAACTGACTAAAAAAAGATTATTATTTCTTCCCTAAACGAATTCGTTTAGAACAACAAACGTTCAAGATTCACATGTGCTGATTAAGAATCACCATACCTGTATTCCCTCTACGTTTGATTTACTTATTGTTTTGAAGACAATATAGAAGGGCTGTCCCTCGGGTAGATCAGTGTGCATTAGATGAATATGGCGATGTTGTTTTGTTGATCTAAAGGAAAGTAAATCAGGTGCTGTGCTTCCTGCTACTGTGGCCAACCCTACCTCATAATCATGGATGTTTGTTTCATTGGCGGACCAGGACAGAATGATCTATAAATCAATAGAGTATTTAAAAACAGCAACAGAAAAGCAAGAAATTGAGACTAAAACAAGTTTTGTGGGTTATTATTTTGTATTTTCTTTAATTCTAACATTATTATTAACAACACTCTTTCGATTATTATATATTTAAGAGTAATTGAGCTTACATGTGAAGATTTTGCTAATACAGGACTCAGTAACGTGGGCGCAGAGGATGTATTGGAGCAAATCATGGAACCATTCGTCACCATTTGGGTTCCATTTTTATGATGGGTAATTGGTAGCAAATCAAGATCTGTCACCGATATTAGTGTTGCTTTATTTCTTCAATCAAAAAATATACATTTTAAAAACATAATACATATAATTATACAACATGCAAATTTTATTCAAACTGACGCTGTGATGGAAATATTTGGAAATATGAATAAAAAATGTTTTTTATGACACCTTAAAACATTGTTTAGTTCTTGAGAGTATAACTTTAAGAATTTCACAGAGGTTTTAGAACCTTAAAAAGAGTACTTTTATGGAGAAAATAAAAACATTGTTTCAAGTTTTCATTCTTATTGTGCGCATGCACAGTAAAGCTGTGGAGGTTCCCGTCGTCTTAAGGCGCAAGAAATAAAAATTACAATATTACGAAGATTTTGATATAATCTTCAAAAAGTTTATCAGGACATTTATTCCTCACTCTTGTATGCATCAATTTTGTGTTGCTTACAAGTTTAGAAGACCGAAACAAACTTAAGAAACAAACTAAATATCGCGTGACTTTGAAAATAGCAACGATACGATGGACACACGTTTGGCGCTAATATTTTGCAGTCTCTCTTGTTTTATAGAGAGGCCGAGTTTGTCAAAACTTTTTTATAAGAGGGTTGTCCCGTAAAATCGTGGACAAAGCGTTTTTCTCGAAAAGTAATGGGCGCACTAAGCTGAAATTTTCAGTAAATGTTTATTCATCATATTTAAATGTATCATAATGGTTTTGATAATAAATATACAAAAATAAAGATTTTATTCTGCTTGAAGGTGCACAGGGTACGGTCCTACGGCGCACGGTAAAAATAACAAGGTTGTATTAGAGAATATACAAGTATTAATTCGTAATAAAAGTTTTTAATACATAAGATTAGGATGAAAATTATCCTCATTCGATTCCTTAATCAATTCTATCGTCTTTTTGAAAATTTCAAGGCATTAGGTTAAATTTTGGCTGTTTCCCGAGCATTCGAAATGGAAAAGTTGTATACACAATACACGAAAATGGCGACGTTTCATAACGTTACGGCGTTTCAGTTAGATTAGGATTCAGTTAGATTAGGATGTTTAATGACACTTTAAAAGACTTTAAATGAATACGGAAGAACGAAAATATAAAAAATATCACCAGATTTTTAGTATACAAATAAAATGGACGTTTCCTTAGCGAAGTCTTCTTGATTGAGTCCTCAGATAGTACAAAACATGTGGACACACTGCCATTGTAATAGTAAAAGACGCTGTCACTGTCGACTGTCGATATGAGATTCTCATTTAGTTGACTGATGGTGAGAATACTGTACGTAACTTGCTCATATATATTCAGAAGATCGCATGAGTGTGCCACATTGGTTCCTTAACTGGTAATAAACACTCACATATGTAAATCAATAAAATTTCTAAATTTAAGTGGGGCTATCCAACTTTATCTTAGCAAACATTAAGCGTGACGCTGTTTTAGACACGTCGACGTTATCATCGTGCGCCGTAGAGCGCTACAGTACATTACATAAAATATCACAATTTGTTTATTTATGCATATATCTATTTGAAATTTGCTATGTATATTTATAATATATGTACTAAAAAGTAGTGAAACTTTCAGAACGCAGTGATGATTATTTTTCAAACTAGACAACTTGTCCACGATTTAACGGGACAACCCTCGTATTTAAGGAATGAAGCTTATTTCAACTTTTGTTATACGACATAACATAACTTGGGGCAGTTTACGCCGTCGTATAACATAAGTTGAAATAAGCTTCATTCCTTATTATCTAATTTCAGTGTAGACAATGAAACAAATTTTCCACCGAAAAAAGGCTTCAAATATAGCATATTTTAAAAGTAACGGCCTTCGGCCTCAGGGTGTATGGAATAAAACCCGGGGTAAATCCCCGTACACCCTTGATTGAACCTGGATAATTTATTTTATGTCCCTGAGTGTTAAATGATTTTTGTAGGATATTTAATTTACCCCCTAAACTTACATGCATTCTGAAGTTGGATTCTCGATCAACGTTCGGCGTCTGTAACTGTCCACTACCCAGTACTGTCGTCGACTTGAGTCAGTTATGAGGCCTCCTTTAACATGGGCACTACTTATATCTACTTCCGAGATGCGTTGTTTGGCCGTATTCACTGTAACTCCGTCTGAGCAAACGGGTTTAGAAGGCTCCAGGGCTCGGTTGAATGCAACAACACAAACGTAGTAGGTTCCCTCAGTTGCCACAGTATGGGTAGCATGCAGGGAATATGTTTCGTGCAGCTTTAAATGGAATATTTAAGCACATGTTGTATTTGTCATTTTGTTGCTGAAATACTAGTACATTGTATTAAAATGGGAATATTGCTAATAATAATTAAATATTTACTTTATAAATTTACTTTTTATTCAAAATGCTAAAATATTTACTATATACTTTTTCTTCCTTCATGTAAAAGAGCATTTTCAGCAAGCTGCCATAATTTATACTTCATAACATTGAAATACATGTACAAAGATAACAAACAGCAATCAATCTGAAAAGCTCATCGAAACAATACAAATTGTAACCAGAGCGAGCACGGGCCTGTAAAACCAAATCATCAAAGATACTGTAGGATCGGGTGCCAAAGAGGGGTAAACACCCCTGTTGACCTGTCATACTCAGCGTTTGCTATAATTGGGTAAAACGAAAAATTCCGTAGATATTTTATTTTGAGAATAATGGCACAGTAATTTGTACGAAAAAAAATCAAGAGTTATTCGACTGAAAAATAGATTGTGTTTGCTTTTTCAGTCATTGTTTCCAAAATAGAATTTGCAAAATGTACACTGAGAAAAAGGCTTCTGATATCCTTGTATCATCAGTCAATTTGTCAAAAACTTGCCTTGTTTTAGAGAGATGAAATTTGTTCATTTAAGGAATGAAGCTTATTTCAACTTTTGTTATACGATATAACATAACTTGGGGCAGTTTACGCTTTATAAACCGCGAAGCGGTTTATAAAAAAGCGTAAACTGCTTTACGTTATGTTATATCGTATGACATAAGTTGAAATAAGCTTCATTCCTTATAATTTAATTTCAATGCAGACAATCAGACAATTTTTCCATTTTTCCTTCAGAAAAAGGCTTCAAATATAGCGTATTTTAAAAGTTAACGTCAAGCGGAGTAATACGTTTTTGACGTAACTCATTGTGACGTAGGCAAGTTATGTTATACAAAATGGATAAAACCGTTTAACCAATCAAATGACGTGTTACAAATAAAATTAAATAATATAAGTTTTTCTTAATAGGAAACCATTATTATTTTCTCATTTAAAAATATTTATTAAAAAATCACCAGAGAATTTGCAGAATTCAACTGAAATTCGTTTGCTGGAATTGGTTCCGTATGAATACCATACATATAAAACAAGACACCACTCTCTTTGTCAAAGAAGCCGTCCCAATGAGCGTTCAGTGTCTTGCTTTGTTGGAAGTCAACTTCATCAGTTCCCCTGATTCCGTCTTGTACAGTTCCAGTGTGTGGGGGTGATATATCAATTGTAATCTAGAAATTTTTTTATAGTACTTGAGTTAATCATAGAATTTGTAATGTGTAGCTTAGTTATTTCAATAGACAGAAAGCTTTAAGTCTTACGCATCTAGATTACAAATGCATATAAATACAGGCACATGTACAGCTGTACAAATTTATGATAGGAAACTGTTTTCCAAAACTTTTTAAAGAAGTATCATATGTATACTTTATTTTTAATTTCAAAATTGATAAAACATACGTTAAAAAACAAATTAAAATAAATAATTTTTATGGGTACACATGTTAAAGGATTTTAATCAAAAAATGGGTGTAATTGGACGATTTTTGTTCCAAATGCTGCTAATTATAATACATGTAATATAGTTCTATATTCACCTTCTTTCTTACAACTGTTGATAACAACGCTTTATTGGTGGCATTCACTTCTAAGAAGTAGTCATAATCGTGAACGCCTCTCTCCTTCCCAAGAACCAGACCATTTCCTTCCCCGGTTTTAATCTCTGGTTTGACTAGGAAGTGTCTGTGGTAAGCCCCCATGTGATTGGTCTGGTAACAGTCTGGTCCTCTGCTGTAGTTGTTATACAAGGAACGACAGTGCGCCAGATCCTTAAAATAGGGTTATATAAAAAATATTTTGTTACTAGTACGTTAGTGGATAGAGTGTAAAGGAGACAATCAAAAAGACATCAAAGAGAGATCTCCAGGAAGTAAAGTTTATAAATTCTGTAATTCAAAAAATTAAACTTAAGGCTCTTTTAACCATTGGTGTGTCATTTTAAACTCAAAAAATCTATAATTTTGGATGGAAACAGTAGATAAAGTATTACTGTAGCATAGCCTTGTGCAGGAATGTGTTCATGACCATGTACAATATCCTCCCCCGTAAAGTTGTCAAACAATCGCCAATATATGCTGTCTACGCCGCTGTGATAATCATACGCAAGCCACTCGATTCTGTAATGAAATTTTGGCGGAATCTAATTTTTCAAAATATGTGTCTTAAAGTCTTGAGACAATCGTCTAAGTTGTTTGGAATGGAGAACAAAAAATAGAAGAAATACTTAAATATCAGGAATATTATTATATGAAGAAAGAAGATAATGAGTAAGAAGAATGAAGATAATGAGTAAGCCAAAAGGATACAGGTAGTTTTCATAGGATTATGTAGCATTTATAATAAAAAAATAAATATATACAACTCTTACATAACATTGTTTGGCCCATTAAGGACACATGATATAAACAATGAATTTGATGTACGGAACGGTTTATATATTTTTGGACTTATTTTGGTTGTAAATGATACACATCAAACTTGTAAAACATTATATGTAGAAATTGTAAACTTTCTATAATGTTCAAATTTCTCTCTTTTGTCGTACCCCTAATCAATACATTTTTAAAAATCGCTTTATTGGAAAAATTCAGAAACTTTGACGGAAAAATGAAATTTTATGACATTGTCTTTTACACATACATAAACATACATTTCATTTTTATTTTGAGTAGTTTTGAGGAAGGTTAGTTTTTCATCTTTTTGCAGCTGCTAAATCATTCTTTCTAAGCTTAATCCAAACATAAAATCCTAAATATTGCTATAAGCATATCCTTACACAGTGGTACTTATTACTTGGTGCTGATTACTTATCTTCTTAAAGAGTAATTTAGACTTATACAACGGTGTGTAAGGATAGATTTTAGTCTTACGTCATTTTGGAGAAATCTTCCAGCCTGTGGACACTAACGTTAAGCCTGTCCTCTCGTGTCAACCATAGGTTTTCCACGACAGGAGGAGTGGAATCTCTAAAGATAGTTAAAGTGTCGCTCAGTGTTTTGTTGAAAATATCAAAAGCAGTTACGGTTAAGACTGCCTTGTCGCCGTCGGACCAGTTGAGTGCCAGTGTATCAGATTCAGAGAAAATACTCGTAACCGATGTTGGAGGTTTGAAGTCTTTTACTTTGGATCCGTCATAAACGGAATATCCAACTCTGAAGTTCACACAACCTGAAAAAGCATGAACATGCATATTTATGAGAACTATTACTAGGAATTTTTATAAAATTGTTTTTCTGTCCTCTCCTGACGGACTAGATTAAAATGTTCTGACTCAAAACTTTTTTTACCTCTAGGATTGATTGATTGTTTGTTGTTAAACGTCAGCATTGATGTTGAAATTTTCTGGGGCAAAATTTTTATAACTATCTGTCAACCCAATTTTTAGAGCTTGAGTGGGAAGATGGCAAACATATATCATTTTAAAAGTTGTCCCAGTTTTATTTGCAGTACATTTTTGCTATAATAGTATTGGAATTTTACGTGATAGGTTAAAAATTAAATGTATACTGTACGTATATACATTTCAAAAATACCTTGTACATTATCAATAGCATTGACGGTTCTTTTCCCAGTATAATCATCATAGCTTCTGTCAACATCATGATATGGAGCAACCCTTGTCAACCAACCGTTTACATGGTGAAGTGCATTCCGAAAACGCCCGTTCCAATTCAAAATAACCGTGTTAGTATCACGAATTATCCACGTGTAGTTCGTGTTAGCACTCCCAGTTATGACGCGTGTATGCTTAGTTGGATCATGGGAGACAACGGATCTGTCATCTAAGAAAATGAGACGCCTTGCAGTCTTCTTATTTCCTGCCTTGTCATAAGCAGTAAATAGCAAAGAGTACATTCCATGCTCCGGTAATTCCACAGTTTTCTGAAAGAAATAAAAGATGTGCCTTTGGAAAAAAAGTTGGTAAAGACTTTTTTCTATATTATATAAACAGAAGAATAAAGTTCTTACACTTGAATCACCGAGAGATAAAACTCCGCTTCCGTCATCCATTTTTGTCAGTTCCGTTAGACCGTTGTTAGTCTTAGTAAGGTGATGAATTTCATACTGGTAATTCTTCAGACGAGAAAGATCATCCTCCCATCCACCCCATCTCATTGTTACCCTGGGCTAAATGAATACGTATTTCTAGGTCACCTGAGTAAACTCAGGTGACCTATTGCTATCTGTTTTCGTCCGTTGTCGTGCGTCGTGCGTTGTGCGTTAACATTTGAACATTCTCAACTTCTTCTCTGCAACCACTGAACCAATTTCAACCAAATTTGGCAGGAAGCATCTATGGGTGAAGTGGAACAAAAATGTGAATTTCATGATCCCTGCCCCCCTGGGGCCTGGGGGGTGGGGCCAAAACCATTAATATTAATGCAATCTTTAAAAATCTTCTTCTTTACTCCTGGACATCAAGCAGTCAAACTGTTTGCATGATTGTAATCAGCAATGAGTTCTCTTCCAAAATTGTGAAATTCATGGTCCTGGGGTCAGGGGTTCTAGTGCTAGGGCGGGGCTAAATAAGTAGGTAGTGAAAATGCATTATTTCTTTGAAAATCTTCTTCTCTGCTCCTGGGTATTAAATAAACCAACTAAGTACATAGTTATGATGAGCAAGAGTGCCTCTACCAAAATTGTGAATTTTATGGCCCCAGGGTCAGGGGTTCTGGTGTTAGGGTGGGACTGTATTGATTATAAAGTGAAAATACATGAATTCTTTGAAATTCTTCTCTGCTCCTAGGAATTAAATAAACTAACTAAGTGCCTAGTTATGATGAGCAAGAATGCCTCTTCCAAAATTGTGAAAAGGGTCAGGGGTTCTGGTGTTAGGGCGGGGCTCTATGGATTATATAGTGAAAATACATTAAATCTTTGAAAATTTTCTTCATGCTCCAGGGTATCAAGCAGATGAACTACCTATATAGTTATGATGGACAGGGGTCCTAATCTTCCAGAATTGTGAATTTCAAGGCCCCAGGGTCAGGGGTACCATAGAGGGAGGGGGCTGTACTTATATACTGAAAATGAATGAAATTGAATGGTTTGAAATCTGCTCCTTGGTATTAATCAAATATCAAGGCCTAAGGGTCAGGGGTTCATGTGTGGTAGGGGCACTACTGTTTATTGCTGAATATTACTGATTAGTTGCAATGCATTTTTTATTCCCTTACCCTGCCTATGGGTATTAAGTAAACTAACTAAGCAACTGCGAAGTGTATTGGTATGATGATCAATGGTGCCTCTTTCAAAATTGTGAATGCCATAGCATCTGGCTTAAAACATGAATCAAATTCGTTGTTGCAAAATGCTCAGGTGACCTGTAAGGCCAATGGGCCTCTTGTTATCGACAGTCTTTAAAAGAAATATGTAAACATAAATGATTACATGACATAGACGATTTCCCAATGTTGACTCTGAAAATGTTGTTCGACCGAAACAGTATAACGAATATATGTTACTACCATTGTGCAAAAAAAAAAATAATATCCTATGTCATTTTCCTTTCGTTCCTAAGTGTAACCTCTTGTTTTTTCTTATTTATTCTTACAAAGTAATTAAGTAAATAATCATGTCTTTCTATTTTAATTTTAGTTTTTGAGATGCCTCTGTTCATCCTGCTTTAAATCAATATAACTCTCCCTCTTTTTCTTTCTTTCTTTCTCTAGGACTCTCTTTCTCTCTATATTGAAAGATTTAAAGTAAAGATATCAATACTCACGTTCTCAGTTAAATCGGGTACAGTTACAGGATCGGGACAGATCCCAGTTGATCTTTCCAAGCAATGATAAGGATTTATGAAGTCCCACTTAAAGACATACTGAAATGTCTTCGTGTTTCCAACTAAACTGTATGTATTGACTATCCCATTCTCTCTGTTCTCAACTTGTACGTAACCCCCATTTGTCGCTTCTATTGTAAAAGTCATGCTGTGTAAGGAGTGAGTAATTTTATTACAATGTTTCTTTAAATATCACCCCTCTTAATGAGAAAAGTTTCCAAAAATTATGCATCATATATATAATGTTCTTCTGAGATATGGGAAAATATATGATGTTGTTTATTGAGATTTTTTTCATTCATTTGTAACATAGGGAATTTGCCTTAGTTCCGCAGGTTCAAAGCCCTTTTAGGACCTATCAAAAATAAATTCTATATAACGAATTGACGAATTTGTGAAAACAAACTTGAATTTCTATTTAACATTTGGAACAGGTATATCAGATTTGAAAAAAAAAATTATAGTTATAACAGATTAAAACTTGTTTAACCAATTCCAAAATTTGTTAAAACGAATTAAGTTCGTTAAACCAATTCCACAGTTCATCATTTCCAATTTTAAAAATGTTAGATGTTTGATACATATATTCCTTCATTTCACATACCTGTCTCCAGTTTGAAAATGACGCTCGGCCAGTATGTCGTTAAAGCTGAAATCGTGTTGACATGATAATGGAGATAAAAATGGAGATGTGCTAGATATCCCTTGAACTCTAAATACCTCCGATCGTCTGCGTCCACCTCAAATCACATTAAATTGAAAGTATATATATAACATTGTTGAAATTAGCTTTTATATTTAAGTTCAAGAATATGTTTTAATTACCATTCATTGGAAAATAATCCATTGTTGTTGAAGCAGAAACGATTCCACACCGGAAGTCCCTAACAAAATGACCAGGATCCTTCGATGCTCCTCTGGTAAATTTAGCGTCCCATCTGGTCTCAGCTCTCTGCCAATCCTCATTATTGGTCCATACAATAGGACTGTTATCATTCGGAAAGGTGTCTGATTCTGGATTATCAAGCTTTTCAATACTGTCTCGAAGAGTTAATAGGGTGTAAGTTACTGTGACATATTCAGTTACTGGAAGTAAAGATAAAACATGAGGTTTATTTTATTTGTCAGGTAATTTTCAGATAATAATGTATATAATTGTATAGCTAAATGTATATTATTTATATGTACATCTTTCACAGTGCCTTCCATAAAATCCTGGTTCACATATACAATTTGCTGCAAGCTCGTTTCCACAGACTCCTGGAAAACATCTTGTGCTGTCTGCCCGCCATGAACATGTCTCTAAATAACAAGTCAATTAGATAAGGATATTTATGATCAAAGGCACAAAAGAATAACAATGATGGAATATTTCTACACAAATTTATTGAATTATATTGCTGTAAACGTATTACATTTGGCTGCGTATTCTTTTTAGCGGCTTTAACGGAACGCAGCAACCGCTAAATCAAGTACAACGCTAAATGTCTTGCACATATACACATAAAGATGAAAAGGAAAAAATGAGCTAAATCAAATCTACGCTAACTTATTCAAAAGTCAATTTCCGCCAAATATCGTACACGCTAAATATAATACATTTACAGTATATTGTATTGAAGTCATTAGCGTAAATGTTTTTTGAAAAGAATTATATATTGTAATATTTTACACTTACGCTGACATGACTTTTTATCTGTACTTCTTACATAAGCTCTGTGATATTTTATATCTCTGACTACGCCCTCACAGTTTGCGCAGATTGTTGTGGATGCATAATCTTCACAATGCATTTCAATGCAGTTATTGATTTGTGGACAAGCTTGAAAAAGAATATGAATTTGTTTTAAAAGGTCATCTCAAACAATATCATTATCAAGAATACATAAACTTCTCTTTTAAATGATGCATTTAACTTCATATTTAAAGTTTGAAATAGTGTACAATTCCAGATAAATAAACCTTTAAATCTCACTTTAATATTGTTCTCTAGGCTGACTTGTAAGTTACTTTTAAACGAGCAATATTTAATTACAATTGGAATTCCAGATATGCTTTACAATGAAAAGATTTGACAATATTTTTATAATAACAATGTAGAGGTGACATTGCTATTTTTTCTCACATTGAGAAAATGTATATTATATTCCTTCTTAAAGGTACTTGGACACAGATTTGAAGTCAATATTTTTCTATAATTTTCTATAATATTACGACTTATATATTTTAATAGCATTTCACACAAAAATTAACTTTAAATCTTATTTCATTAAAAGTTATTAAAACTTCAAATTTTTTGGCGGGTTTGATACTCCACTCTCGTGCAATTATTTGTCTCATTGATCGAGGCTGTAAAAAAATGAAATAGAATTCTAATGTTTTACAACCTGTGCATTTTGGTCCATCGTTGTAAAAGTACTTGTCACAACCAGTGCAGTGTTCAGGAAGAGAACATGTTCCTCCCCAGTACTTCCGTTGCAGACCATATTTAGTCGGAACCAATGAGCTCAATTTGCAGGCCAACCCCTTGTTAGTCTGACCACCACAGATTGCTGTTTTTAAAATAAGTGAGCAACGTTCATGATACTCTCAGTGAATCATCTTTTTTCGGGGTGTTCAGAATTTTTTTTTAAAATTACAAACCATAAGGGCATTCTGTTTCTCCATGTGATTTCCATCCTTTTTTACATCTATGTTTTTTCTCTGAGCCTTGCCTTTAAAAAGAAAGCAGATAACTGCATTACAAAAGCTAGAGAAAAAAAAAGATAAAAATAAAACATTAAGGGGCCGGCTATAGTTTTCATTGCGCAATATTTCGCGCATTATAGTAAAATGAAGCGTATCTACTGTTTTAATGGAACCTTTTTCGCTTAATTATTAAAATTAAACAAAATTAAGAAATTATAGGTATAAAAATGTATAAAAAAAAAAAAAAAATGATATAACTGATTTTTAACCGATTTTGCGATTGATAGGTAGGTTGACGTCGTTGCAGTGTATTTTTGACGTTATGATAATCTGTACCTCTTAAAGAAAGGGGTAATAAAAATATTATTAAAGAAAAAGTAATAAATATACGCTCCTGAAATTTAAAACATAGAAATTTGAGAATATCTCCAATATTATATTATGTTTTCATGTGAATCCATTGTGTACGTCATATTTTGTAGTACTCTATAAAAATAGTAAAATTTGCTAATTTTTTGCATTTTGAGATGCCCCCTTTGGTAACAAGACGAGTATCAAAATAAATACGAGTATTATTGATATACCGGGTAAATGAAATTGAGTTTAATATAAAACCTAGATCCACCCCTTTACAAATACTTGTGAGCGATAAAGTTCAAGGTCATTCTCTTGGGGTTCTGTCTTTTTATTGGTTGTGGTTCTGAGTAGTTTTCAGAAAGAATATTCAGAGGTTTTGGCCAGGTTGGCTGTGTTAAAATTTACAGAGTTATTTAGACAAAGAATTTTATGACTTTGGAAGACTTGAGACCTTTAGACCAGACCTGGAAGTAAGTATTAACTTTATTAACATTCTATATCTTTATAATACCTTTATTTAGCTAAAATCACTGTTTGTAAGAAGAGTGAAAGTTTAAATAATGAATTAAAGCTTAATCTTCAGTTTATCATCTCAGAGAATATATTTATTTGAATCATGAGTATTGTATTATATATAGTACAGTTTATAGTACTTCTTATTAGATATGTAGCAGAAGCTTCCAGTGGTATATTTTGGTGTTTCATGGAATGGGCCTTGTCCCATAGATAGGTAATTAGCATATGTTACCTTCTGTATATTTTAAAGTAATAAAATCATATCATTGCATTAATTGAGATGTGATTGTAAAATATATGTGTAGAAATTAACTGCACAGTGCTTTATTTATATGCTAAATATTTGAATTAAGAGAGATAACTCTTAACTGATAAATTTATCTTTTGTACATCAAAATAAGTAAAATAGAATACATGTATACATTTGTTATTATTTCATGTGATATTCATTGTTATTGTTTTATTTTATAGGGCCATTCATTTACTTGATGAGCATCAATATTAAACATATGTGAACCCTTAGACAGGAGTTTGGTTGTTATTACATCCTATATATAAACCACCCCTGCAACAGTAGAATTTTGTGTTTCTTACATATATTGTATGATATAGTACTACTCATCAAATATTATAGTTTGAACAAAATGTCTATTGTAGTTTTAATAATAATAATAATAATAAATAAAGTTGAATCACCTGTATCTAGTACAACTTCCAAAATCCCAAAATCCACAGTCTATATAATATGTAATTCTTCTATACAGGGTGTCTGTGATCACATTTTCTCTATAATATCAATAAATATCTTAAGTAAATGTCTAGATATATTTCTGAGAAATCCTGACCCTAAGACCAAATTAATACACAACAAATGTTTCAGTTGATGTGGAAGTTATATATTATAATATTTGCTTTAACTGTTAAATATTACCCATTTTCTTTTAACTGGCTTTCATATTCACAGTTGACAAAACTGGAAATCCCTGCCAAAAGTACTAATAGATATAAGATCCATAAATTTCCCAGCGGCATTATGCATCTATTGTGAATACTCCAGGTTATCCTATTATGAAATAATTAAGAACTTGAAAGTTTTCATCATTTACTCAAGGATTGAGAATTGTCAGAAATTTTATTTCAAAATAAAGATAATGATTGATTGATTGTATATTGTTTAACGTCCCTCTCGAAAATTTTTTCACTCATATGGAGACGTCGCCGTATGTCGGTGAAGGGCTTTAAATTTTTACCTTTACTCGGCACTTAGGGCCATTGAGCAGTGAGGGATCTTTATTGTGCCAACGCCTGCCGCTGACACGGGGCCTCGGTTTTTAAGGTCTCATCCGAAGGACCCGCAACTTTCACTTCAAAGTGCCGAGCGCATGGCGAAGGAACAGTTGCTACCCAATTTTTATCGACTTAGGTCATTCGCGGCCAAGATACGACATACATTACTATGTGGATTTGATAAAAGACAAAGGTACTATATTTTTCTTTTTGGGAGGCGTAATAAAATATTCAGAAGATATTGAATATTTTGTAGTTGGATGAAGAATTCATTTATTTTTTTTTTATTTTCCACTTGTGCAGAGCATTGTTTGAGTAAATAATTATTTTAAATACTGCCTCTTAAGTAAAACAAATTACAGATATATTCAACTTCAAAATATTGGATTTTCTGTTTATAACATTTTCTTTAATTTTACATTAGCCTTTGTCTTTTCGTTATACTGAACTACAGTATCATTAAGAGAAAGTGGCAGTTTTAGTCTACCTCATAACAGACCAAGGAGTATTTTTAACAGCACTCACCGTTCAGGGTAGTAAAATCAAGAGTTTTTTTTTCTGATTTTCTCTCAACGTGTGATAGAATATCTCGTTCAAAGAGAAAGCATGTTTGGAGAAACTTTGGCAGTTTTAGTCTACCTCATAACAGACCAAGGAGTATTTTTAACAGCATTCATCGTTCAGGGTAGTAAAATCAAGAGGTTTTTTGCTGATTTTCTCTCAACGTGTGATAGAATATCTCGTTCATGTTCTCTTAGAGTGTGACAGAAAATCACTTTTATTCAATTGATAGATTTCACTATGGTAGATAAAAAGTGTATATGCATTGTATTTACAATCGTTCTATCATGTTAGCTTTTTATTGCTATGTATCACCAGTATATTCAATTATAAAATTTGTAAACGTAAATGCTGAAGACAAGAAAAAAAAAATAGCAGAAATATTAGAAATTATGTAAAACATGACGTTTTAAAAATTATTTTAAATTGTCGTTTACATTACAGACATAACTTCTTAATATAAAAACAGATAATAATATTTCTATAAAAAAATTATTTAATTCTAAACAGAATAAGAAAATTAAACACTGTTAAAGAGTTATTCATCTAAATTTCCCATCTTCTATGTGCATGATCCTGAATAGATCTTGGCAATTTTCCAAGACAATGACAAACTTTTTCCATCTTTATATTAAACGATATGGTTAATGTTAGATAATTTGAGGATGTTAATGATATGCGAAACCTGACATACTTGTAACAAAGCTGGTTAATAAAAGGTCAAGCGATTGGCAAACTTGGAACATGCAAGACTTATTAAAGGATTTATTTTTCAAACGAACGATTATTTTCCACGAATTTTAGAATTTAAGTACATAGTTTAAATGTCTACAGTTGTATGTTGCAACAATAATTTTCGTGTCAACTTATCCTTATATGTTCCATCCTTTAAAAATATGTAATTTAAAGCTATCGTGAGGATTGATTTTATGCAATCTTTTTGTTGAAATGAAAATAAATTGGTGTTATAATAAACTATAAAAATGAATTTAATTCCCAATTTTAATTTTCTCATCTACAAAATTCTTGGTTAATATTTATACAGATAAACAAATCATTTTATCTTAGATTTCAGACCAAACGATGCAATGGAATATTGCCTTTTAAAAAAATAAATGCGTGATGCACACTCAATTATCAGATAAGTTGAGCTCCCTTAAGAGTGTTTACCTTGAATTTTCAGGTATTCATGTCATACTTTCAAAAGAACATAAAATTGAATAAGTCCGAACCAAATTATAATTGGAAAAAATCATCTAATTTTCATCTGTTTAAGGGTACTTAACATAAACAAAAATTGATGCATGGATTGATATATACCTTTTGACTGATTTTGATTTGAAATCACATAAATAATATATGCCTGAAATATTTAGAAATCGTAGTTTTCCTTGGTACTTAGATATGAGACTTTGTTTTGCTTTCTAATGCACAACTTTTTAACCTTATGACAAAGTCTTATAAAAATTTTCCCACTTTATTTTTGTAAACATGATTCACGTTGCCATTTTAAATGTAAATCTATGAGAAATATATATGATTTCTGAAAAAAAAGTTTGCTATTTATCCACAGAATTATACGATGTATAATAGTGGGTATTATTTATACAATAAGACTGTTGCAATATTCAGGTTCTGAACATGAATACAATAAACTCCTAACATATTGCGGTCGCGTATTATAAGTTTTCATTGAGATAGATTAAAAAATATCATGATTTTAATAGAAAAGTGATATGTGTATCTATTAAGCATTTTGATTTGCAGTAATGCTTTGCATAAATTATATTAATGGTCTTGTTTGCTATCGATAACAAGAGGAGGATTTTTTTAACGTATAAATTTATAAAGAAATAGAAAGGGTTTGTAATCTTTTAACAATTACAAATGTAAGCATCTTCGTGAAGTACACTTTTTCACTTATCATTCCGGCCAAAAGGCTTTTTTCCAAATATATTTAAAAACGCATTTTTAGCATGCACAATTGTAATCGGTAAAAATAAATTTCATGTCAGATTATATTACCCTCAAGCATTCAATTGTAAAAAATATTGTGTACTGTCAATCGTTTTAATGCATAGTTCTATAATTTTATAATTGCTCAAGAAAAATAATGTTCAAGTTAAGTAGAAGTGTTAAATAAAATAGAAGGATGTTGTCAATATGAATACTAAATTGTCCACAAGAGACAGGTTTACTTTAAAAGACAATTTATCATATCATTGATGTCTCCACAGGTGAGCGAAATGAAATTAGGAAACTTGAAACATTTTTAATACCTTTCCCATAAACTGAGACCTTATACAGGTATTAGCTTAAGATTATTATAAAAGAAGATGATGCTTCCGAGAATTCATTTTAAATGAATTATCTCAAATCATATTAAAGTTTCTCTAAAAGTTTATGGCAACGGTTTTTAAACGTGTGTGAAAAATCCAAATTCCGCTGTGTCGTTTAGCTTGGCAGATTTTTGTCATTTCTCTCTATTGTACAAATATGAACTAAGGATTTTGTAGACGAATAAAAATAATATTGGTCATTGAAATCATCCTTACGGTTGATTTAAACACATGTTTAAATTCAACAAAGGTTTTCATGAGAAAGAATGAAATCAGAGAATTATTTTACGATAGATTAAAATAACAGACTTTTTTTATACAATGGGGCATATAAGGGTTCCACGATTTCTATATGAAACTTATTTTTGCAGTATAAAAGTTTTGACAATAGAATTTAAAAGCATTTTATAATTCATGGAAAGCCATTGTGTCACGAGGAAAATAGCTTTTAATTGAGCCGTGTTTATTTCCAATAACTTGCTAATTAACTGACCTTTAATAAACCTTGAAGTCTAGTCACAAGCATTTCAGGTTTCCTGTATCACCAAGATCCTAGTCGCACGCGTGGCGCAGTGATTAGAGTGTCTGCTCTAGAGTCGCGGAATAATGAACTGATCCTTATGTTGCGCGTTCGAATCCACTGTGGGACGTGGAGACCAGCCCTTTGGATGAGACCTTAAACTGAAGTCCCATGTCGCAGTAGGTGCTGGCACGAAAAAGATCACTCATTAATCTCAATATTCAATGGTCCTGAGTACCGAATATCTGTTTGAATTTACAACCCTTCATCAGAAAGTTGTACCCATATGAATGAAAAATTCTCGAAAGGGACGTTAAACAAAATCAAACCGAGATCTTTAAATTCCCACATCAAGTATAACATTATAATTAGGGATGGCTATCGAATACAGAATTGCTAATTGGTTAACCGCATGAGGTACCACCGATTAACAGTTTGACCGTATCAAAATGATCCTGATGTACATACTTATTTTCCCTAAGAAGTGAATTCTTGCTTTTAAAAACCCATATGCTTATATATTTTATTTCAGTTTCAATATAGACTGGGGAAAAATATGAAAAGTACGAATCAGGCCTGAGAAATCAGTGATATTTTCCAAAACAGATTTCTCATATGTTCAGATGCGTTATCACCATAACAAAAAAACGTAGTCTGAATACACCACTGTGTGTTTATTATGTGCTCTTAAATAATGAAACTGATGAACAATTTGGTTCATATGAACCTGAAGCACAACTGCAGCTCTGTTCTGCAGCATGTTAAATAATAAAGAGGGTGTGTG